TGTCATATTTTTTTTATTTTCTTATATTTACAATTTTTATAATATTTACAATATCTATACAATATCTATATATTTACAATATTTATATTGTTATTTTATCTACTATTTTATTGATTATTTTTGTATTTTTGATTTTTACAATTTGTATTACTGAGATTTGCATCATATTGAATTTCAGAAATAAATGTTTAATCCAATTATGTACTTTCTCTATTCTATCTATATATTAATTCAATCAATTAATTCAAAAATCAATTCCAAAATTAGAAACCGGGGACAGCACTACAAAAGAAGACATCGCAGGCACGAGTGTTTCACCACGAAAGTTGTCTGCGGAAACATTACACTACGAGGCCTACAGCCTCCATACACCCCATGACAAAAACATAACAAACTAACAGCTGCACTTGTGCGGAGTCGCACAACCTTGCAATCGACAACGGCCACTTCGCCTGCACGAGTGACGAAAAGAGGAAGCCCAACCTCAACTGCTACCGGATGTCTGGCATCCGGGCGGAGGCAAATCACGTGCCAGCGGTCGACCATACACCGGAGAAGGAACGAAGGTGCACGGCCGTGGCAACCTCTGGAAGGCAAGCTAGCAACCTTCGCCTTCAAAAAACGGACCCCGACATATGGTCTTGCTCGATCGCCATCACCCTGCGCAGTTGGTCAGCAACCGCAGTGACATCCCGCCTGTTGACGTTAGCTGAACTCTCGTTAGGTGAAGTCCGAATGCAGGCAGGGGGTGTGGCCACGCGCCTGCGTGGCTGGGAACGGGGAGCACTTTCACGGGGCGAGTGGGAGACAGACACGACCACACTGGAAACGGGACCGGAATGCCCGCTGCCGGGGCTGGACAATGTACTAACGAAATTATCTTTGCCATGCACAGATTCCCCATCCTCGATGGCTGCCAGTAGTTGGTGCAGTCGCTGGACCTCCTCGCGCAGCACCCCCACCTTCACTTCAACGACCTCTGCTCTCGACAATGCCATGGCCTCACGTGTGTTGGAACTCTCAAGCTCCCCCTGCAATCTTTTGATCTTGTCGACCATATCGGATGTGCGTGGGAAAAGCACACCCCTTTTCCTGGCCAGCTTGTGGGCCTGCTCGATCAGATGTTTGTGGGTGAGTGCAAAGTCACCAGCCATGCCGACAACTTCTTTAACTTCGCGGATAGGCATATGATGCGGTAGCGGAGACGCGTGGACGACATTCACGTTACCTGCAACCATGCCACCAGCCCACCGCACACACATGCACGATGTCGTTAGATGCCATTCACCACCCTCGTTTGCATAACCTCCTTCACGATGGAAAACCTCCCGAACTGCATAAAAACTGAGCGTATTTGAAAATGGAAACGAAGAAGGCAGTCTTCGCTGCATCATCGGCGAACCCACTACATCAATAACACCGGACGTTCATCTCCAACAAGGCCGTGCATGCTACTTCGTCTATTGCGTTCCCTTTTCCGCAGGACGTCTCGACAGTGACCCCGACATCATCGTGAAACATTGGAGGAGCGTGGTATTACCCTGTGCGAGGGTGTTGTTGATGCCATCCATGACATTCGCAAAACTGCCTGCCAATTTATCGGCTTGTCTGTCATTGGATTCCACCAATGCATGTGCAAAGTCAGCAAAACTCCCCCCCCTGTTCCCTTCCGCTGATGACTGAGATCTGCTGCGGCGAGCGCTTCCACCACCCCCCTCCATACGTGCACTCTTCGACCATTCGCCGCCGTCACTCCCCTCGCGCCTTCGCGGAGCAGGGCTTCCACTCCCAGCACCTGTGTCATCATCCTCTGTCACAGCACTCAACCCTCCTTCGTTGTATTGAACGGAATTCATAACCCCTTCAGAAGACCCCTCCGCCTTCCGCAGTTTTCACTGCAGAGCATCGAACAACTGTTTGTCGAACAACACAGGCAACCCCTCCTTCTTTCTGGACACCCGATCCATGTTCCAATAGATCCGTTCACCAGATCTCAAGTGAAAGTCACGGATCCTCTTTCCATTGTCGAGCAGGTTGTAGAACTTGCGTTCACACTCTTCAATGCTGCGGGGCTCGAACCCTTTCTCCACGACCTTGGAAATGATCCACTCGTACTTCTCCTTCCTCGTGCGCATTTTCTGTCTTCCTCTCCTCTTCTGTTGCAGAGCGTCTTCCTCAAATAGATAGGTGAGCAGCCCCACGCTCTCGTCAGTGCTCCAATCAGGAGAATGGGGCTTTCCTTTTGCTGCAGGTTCTCCATCACCACCCCCTCCACCTGGAGGTGCACGGGTCTTTCCTTTGGCTGTAGGTTCACCGTCACCACCCCCTCCGCCTGGCGCTGCACGGGCCTTTGCTTTTGCAGCAGGTTCACCATCACCACCTCTCCACCTCCAGGTGCACGCCTCTGGCTGCCATCATTGTTGGAGACGTCATCCCGCCCCTGCACATTGAACTCCCCATCTGAATCGGCACTGGAGCACCCTCCGTATTGGGTGCCTGCAATGTCTGCCACACCACCCATCCACGCATCCCCCACGTCACAATCTGCATTCCCATAAGCTCCTTCGGGACCTCCATGTGATGCTGGACCCATGTCCTTGCCGCCCAGGTTCCTCAAAGGCTGAAACCACGAGTGGGCTGCATGTCCAATCCACCATCGCCGCACTGCAACGTACTCGAGTACGGTCCCAGTTCATGCTCAACGGTCACCGACCCTTGGGCAAGTGACGGGTCTGACTCCACGTCCATGGACAACGCTCCCTTGCTTCCCCCCACCCCGTCGACTCGTGGTTGTTGACGTTGCCCACCCACACCTGCAGTCGGGGCACTCCATCCTACACAGTTCTGCCCATCCTGCGGCATTCCCCATCGGTTACTCCCAGGAACAGCAGACGCTCGCGGAGTGAAGCATGTCACACCGCCCTGCCCGCCTTCCACCTGGCTGCTCCACGCCGACCCCCCCTGAGTCGATGGTGGTCGCGTACTCCCAGGAACAGTGGATGCTCGCGGAGAAAAGCACGTCACACCCCCTTGCCCGCCTTCCACCTGGCTGCTCCACGTCGACCCCCCCAGGGTCGATGGCGGGAACGTGGGCGCCTTGAAGTTCTTCCATTTCGGCAAAGGCGGCAACGCGTACGGGAACTGAACCGCGTGGCTCGCCCCTGTTGCCGCTGTGCCGAATGCAGACGTGTCATCGTTCGCTGGCCCTTGGTGGTGAGACGATGCCGGCTGCGTGTCCTGCATTGCACCTTCCATGGATGACGCGGACGACGACGACCACCGGAGGGAATTGCCCTGCACGGGCCGATCCATACGAGTTTGGTGAAAAACACAGATCTTTCGTAATGGGTTCGACGACCACAGTGCTCCGGCGGCACTGCAGGGGACGCGCGCGCACGCGCGCGTGCGCGCGCGCGCGCGCGCGCGCGCGAGAGAGAGAGAGAGAGAGAGAGAGAGAGAGAGAGAGAGAGAGAG